TTAATTCAGGTTATAAAATCTGCAAATTGTAGTGGCCTACTAGTTCCTCAGAACTGCACTAACCCTATCCAGTAACACAGCTGCAGCCATAGACACATGTATATTAGTAGAATATTATAGTTTGTTCTGAGCACAATGAAGTTCCTGATAATCCCTGAATTTGGGTTATTGATATACAAAAACATTATTAAGAAAGTTTCAAATAATTTTAACTGTAGATGAAATCTTCTGAAAAAAAATTTTTATATTTCCCCAAATAAAATCATGACATTAAATAACCATACACATATCTCAAGTTAGTAATAGCTGGATACAGTTTAACTTATAATTCATGTGCCCTTCCACATTACTAGAAATATTTTAAGATCTTTTTCATAATTTCAATGATGTAAGTGTAATTTTGTTTTCCTACAAATATAATACATAGAGCAGAAAGATTATTTTTTTCCTGACTGATTTCTCCTGCAAATGTCAAATACATTTGCATTTTATAATCTGGATATAGCGTCTTCTCACTCCACAGTCCTACTGTAGCCTAAAGATACAGAACAACCTGAATGTCTTAGATGCTTTGGAAAACTTACTTCAGCTGTTTGGTAAAGCATAACATCTGGCACCACATGTCATGCAGGAAAAACAAAAGGTTGTTTTTCCAACCTTCCTCACATAATACCAGATTATATAGTCTTATCTTTGGCCATGAAAGGTTTATACAAAACACTTCTCATCACCCTTTTGTAGGTTTTGTGGTTTATATCTAGATGCCCCCCCACTAAGCCTCAGTTGCTCAGAGGTGGGGCTTTACAATATGGTTGGATAGTGGGTGGCAGGTGGGGGTGGCCTGCCAAGATCTATCCCCCTCTCAAAATCATCTCCCTCCCTCTTCCTTGATTGATTTCTGCTTCCTGCTCACCTTGCTATGTGCAATTTCCTCTGCTATGCCACACTGTCTTGCAGCTAGCAGACTATGGATTGAAATCCCTACAAACTCCCCTACAGTGCAAAAATGAACTGTGAAAGTTTATTTTCTTCCTTTAGGTTGTGGGTATTGTGTCTCAGCAATGAGAAAGTAGCCAGGACAGTAGGCAAGTCACAGGTCTAAGTGCTCTGCCTACTGACAGACAGATGGTTTAACTGTCTTAAAGTACTAAATATACCTTCCTTTGGTCAGAGAATGCCATGAAGGGCATTTCTATAAAATGTTCAAAGGTGCTCATAACAGTGCAGAAAGCCAACTAATAGCAGCCTATTGCAGAACAAAGATCTAGTTATTTTTCTTACTTCTTTTTGGTTGAGCATATTTAGGTTATATGCTTTAAAATTCAAAACACTCAGATTAAATGATTACAATTAACCCTGATAAATTTAAATGTCAACATCTAAAATAAAGGAATAGAAGGAAATAAAAATCAGGATTGCACTCTTAAACTTAGCATCTCAGGAATTGGGGATATAATTTAGTGGCAGCGCACATGCTTAGCATGCCCCAAGCCCTGGGTTCAACGTTCAGTAAGTAAAACAAAACAAAAAAATTCAATGTTATATAAATATATCTTTAAAATATTTATAAAGTACATTTTATATATATTTATAAAGTACATATTTTATATACATATATTTTATAATTAATATTTAATAACACAATCAAAAGCAAGACTGCCTGAGTTTGAACTCAAGCTTCATCCTTCATTATATGTGACTATAGGTACAGCTTTTACCTTTTCTTCACATCAGTTTCCTCATCTGTAAAGTGAAGGCTAATTTTTCCTTACAGTGTTGTTACAAGGATTAAATTAGTTTCAAAAAGCACTTAAATCAGTGCCTGGCAATAGTAACCACTGCATAAACATCAGTTACTATTACTTCAAATTCTAATAACAACTAGATCAAGGTTCCTATGAACATGTTAATTTTCAGAAGTGTGAGGTGTTTATAATGTTTATGATTTTTCAAGGTTAAAAAATGTGGTTTGGATTACTCTAAGAAAAAGTGTTTGGTTTAGAAAGTGATTGAGTTTCTATGGGCTGGTGAGACAGCAAAGGAGACTAAGTGCCTACTTAGGTAAGCACAGGGACCAGGGTTTGAGTCCTGGCACCACATGTCATGCAGGCACTGGCCCTGCCCCTGGGTGTGCTGAGCTAGCCACTGAGATGGGACATGGTGTTCCACGCCTGTAATCCCAGCCCAGGGGAGGCTGAAAACACAGGATCACTACAAGTCTGAGCTGCATAGTGAGACCCTTTACCAAATACATAAAATAAATAAAATGAAAAAAGAAAGTGATTGAGATTTTAAGACAAAAACCACTTTTGTATGATGCAGTACAAAGTGAAATTTACTAATAGATATATGCCTGCCATAAAAAAATACCTATTAAAAAAACCTCCTGAGCATAATTTCCTACTCAGAACTGAAACATATGCTTTACATTATTGTCCTATCAGTTTTCCAGTTCTTCACAATGTCCCTGAAGCCGTCAGACTTTTACTCCTCCAAAGTCTCTCTTTGCTATTTTTCACTTAGATAAACAGCCTTCTAACTATTGGAGAAACTTTTTGGAGGCTTTATTTGTGATTATTATTTAGTGATTTCTGTGAAAGACTGTTGAAGTATGTTTAACACTGTGCTTTCCAATAAAGAAAGGATAACTCCTTTGAAAGTAATAATGAGGATAACAGAATCCCAGACACAAGAAGGGAAAGGTCTTTAGGCTCATGGATGACATTCATTTTCCAACTCAAGGAAATCAGCTGTAGTAGCTAACTAGTTTGCTTGCTTCATTCTACTGAGTGCACTTGAGTTTCAACAGTACAGGCAAAGTGCACCAGGCAGTGCCCCCAATAAATTACTTTTTCCATCTAGGAAAGACTATGGTACTTCTGTCTTCTGCATTAATAGCTAATTCACAGCCATCTAATTAGCTGTCACTGAAAATGTGATGGACTTGAACAGCCTAAATGTTTATTACATGTCTAATTCATATACCATTTTAATATCCCAGAACAAAAATTTTACAATGACTTACGTTTTATTTATTATCTGTATAAAAGTTATCACAGTGTTATCCTATATGAAGATTAATGAAACACATAAAAATAAAGTGATAACTGCATTTTGAGCTGAAAGTTTCAGAGGATTTTAGCAATAGTTACAAGTTAGAACTTCAGAATTTGAGAGGCAACACCATGTGGTTGAGCAAATATAGGCCTAAGAGTCAGAATGATGCTGGTCCTGGTGCACACCCATCATTTCAGCTCTCCAGAAGATGAGGCAGAGGATCATTGTAAGTTAAAGGCCAGCTTGGGTGAGTTCAAAGCCAGCCTAAACTGCATAGCAAAACCTTGTCTCAAAAAAAAAAAAAAAAAAAAAAAAAAACAAACAAAAAAAAACAAATGATAAAAAGTCAGGATGGGTTTTGAGCTCTACCTTACATATTTTTCCTTCTCATTTAATGTTGCACAAATTATTTAATCCTTGTAATCATATTTTCATCTATAAAATGGGAACACCAACCTTGAAACCTTGTGAGAATTCACATACTATTTGCAAGTTAGATATATATGGAAAAAAAGTGCCTATCTCTTGGTAGGCAGGCAGAAAAAAAAATTTCTCTTCAATATTTTGTGATGTATTCTCTTCCTCCTGTGAAGGCGAGAGATGGATTTGGCATAATCCAAATACTAACTAAATTTCTAGAATAACAGTCAAAATTTTCCGTGAAAGAAAATTTCATTAGTAAAATGATAACCAAGAAAATATTTCATTGGCATTGAGGGTGGGGGTAATCCTCAACCAGTTTATCTTAGCTATTAATTCTACAGTAACTAAAGCTCAAAATACAAAATTTGCATTGTTAATAAAACTAATTGTAGTGAAAACATCATGTGGACAGAAAAGAGATCCATGGGCCTGAAAACTTCTCCTCATCCTATGTATAAAAATTCCTCCATAAGGTATATTCGTACTCAGGTGACTAAAAACTTACATATGACAATCCATTATAATCATGGGACTTTATATCTGGTTTCCCAGGACTTGAACTCCAAAGAAGCCCTCACAATGACCTAGGAACAGAGCCTGGTTAATTCTAGAGGCCTTCCCTGACGCCAATCAGTATGGATGCAAAATCTGCCACCGAAAGGCAGCCTAGGAGATGACAAGTGACAGCTACGGAGGCCTTCTACGTGGAAGCAGGAGGAGACAGTAGGAACCAAGGGCTTCCTGAGAGGACCTGGCAGCCTTCCCACAGCCTCCAGGGTTCCTTCGCCTTCTTGGGAGCCCTCAGTGCACCCGAGAGGAGAGCTTGCGAGAGGCCGGCCAGAGCCGCGCTCCAGCCCCACGCAGCGGCTCCCTCCCAGGACCAGCTCCGCGGGCCGGGACAGCGCGTCTCTGCGCGGAAAACGCTGCGGGGCCCACGAAGAGCCACAAGGAGGGGTATGAAGCCTCCCCCTGCAAGTCCAGCTCGTTCAGCCCTGGGCGCTGAGCGAAACCTCAGGGAGCATTTTTGTCAGCTTCCCTTCCCCTCAGGGATACCTGTTTTTATCAGTTTACCTATAAAAGATAATGCAGTAGAAAGGCAGTATTTAAAACACAGCATCCTGCCAGGCGTGGTGACACGCGCCAGGAGCACCCGCAATTCTGGAGGATGAGGCGGAAAGATCGTTTAAGCCCAGCAACTGGAGCCGGGTCTGGCCGACACAGCGAGACTCCCTCCGCTTCCCAGTTTGAAAAAGAAAAAGAAAAAAAAAAAATACGCCCATACCATCCGAGAACTCCCAGGGTCCTGGCAGGGCAAACTCACCTGTCAACGTGGGGGGGCCGGCGTGAGGCCGCCCTGGCAGAAAATGACCAGACGCGTGGGTGTACACCTTCTCAAAGCGTGCCAGTCCGCCACGCCCCTTTACTGTCACAAGAGTCCCGCCCACTATAGGCCCCGCCCACCCGCCGCCCCGCCCATACCCCTCGCTTAGTCCTGCCCACGGCACCTCCGCCTGTGCTGTTCCTCCCGGCCGGAGGGGTCGCTGTGCCAACTACCGACCTCCACACGGACACTGCAGGCGCTCGGACGGGGGCGGAGGCGCAGCTGGGCGGGCGGAGCGGTGGGGGGCGGTGTCGCCGCGGTATAGGGGCGGTGTCAGCGCCGGCGCGGTGGTCTTTGCGCCATGGCCGCGTCGATGTTTTGCTGCCTGCGGTGCTGCAGGGACAGCGGGACGGGCCACATTCCTCTGAAGGAGATGCCGGCCGTGCAGCTAGACACGCAGCACATGGGTAAGGCCCTCCCTTCCGCAGACTCAACGGCCCGGGGGCAGCAGGGGTAGGCGGTGGAACCGAGCCGTCTGCTTGCGCCGTCTCCCTGGGCAACACTGCCCAGACCTCGTCGGTGTCGCCGACCTCCGTGGCTGCCGCCAACTCCCTGGTCCGGTAGGCTGGCGCCGGGAGGGCTGCGGTGATCTCTCCGTCTCCTGCGAGTTGCCCCTGCACGGGGGAGCTGCCTGCCCTCTGACTCGGTCTGGTGTCCACAAGTTTCAGAATGCTTTCGGTTCTAATGTCCTGACAGTCGGCTGTTTCTGTTCAGCCTCATCTTGTATAGGTTGAAGCTTGTTTTATTGGAAATAATTCCCCCCTCATCTGCTGAAGTCAAAACAAGAAGGTAGAGAAAAGCCTGAAGTCGTACTTCAAGTTAGAACATGCCATTTCAACCAAAACCTCCCCATTGCTGGCGCCTCCTTAGTCACTGTTGGAAGCGCTGTAATTTCATCTCCCTGGCCTCTTCCCAACAGATTGGGCTGCTGCAAAATAAAACAGCACTTTGTTCCTTTGCATCAGTGTCTTTTCCTGCCCGATCCAAATCTCCGTATAACTTTTTGTTCCTCCATATAACTTTTTATCTAACATTCTTAGTCATCATTACCTATTATTTTCCTTTTTTTAGACTTACTGTATAGTTCCATGCTTCTGGAATACAGTTCTAGCAGGAGAGCTTTCCCAGTATAATTATTTAGCAGTAGCGTTAATAGGGGATAATTTTATACTAAATATATTTATACACTTTTGATTTTTTTCTTGCATTGCTCATTGTTTAAAATTCAGTGCATTGAAGTAAAGGAAAGTCTTTATAGCAAAACCCTTTTACCCATATTTTTTATAATTCTGAAAGCACTATTTCCATATTTCTGTAACAAGGTCTAAAAGTTTATCATTGTTTACTGTCTTGTATGTGGATGCTTATGGTACCTTTAATGTTTAGATCCACTAAGTATAGTAGAGAATCTCACTGCATACGTAAATGAGTATCTTTAAATTATTTATCCATCATCATTGGTAGGCAATTGATGTTCAGATCCTATAGTTTCCTTCAGAGAATAGTTCCATTTACTTACTGAACTTTTTTGAGAGACTGTCTGATGGCAGGCATTGTCATAAGTGCTGGGGATAAGGTAAAGGACAACCCTACGTAAGTCCCCTGGAGCTTTTGAGCAGCCTTTGTTCTTCCTATCTCTGGTGCTAAACTCTCAATCTCTGTAGTCTGCTGTATAGAACATTCTTTTTCTTGGGTCTCTTCTCTAGGAAGAATTGGTCATTTGTACTCATTCCACTATATTTATCTTTCTCCAGATTTGCTGGGCGTGTTCAGCTACTCAGTGGATGAAGCAGAGTAGTCCTACATTTTCTGCCCTTACAATTTTTTCTTAACCTGTCATTAACTTCAAATTCTTCAGTCACAAAGAAGGCCTGATTTGAGAACTTGAGCAAAATAGAAGAAAAGAGTGTTGTGGAATTAGAAGAGTTTCAGGCATGAGTCGAACTGATGGTACTGGGGATTGAACCCAGGAGTACTCTGCCAGTGAGCTCCACCCTCAGCCCCCTTATTGTTTTTTGTTTGTTTTGTTTTTTGTTTGAGACAGGGTCTCACTAAGTTGTCAGGTGAGATACAAGCTTTCAGTCCTCTCCCTGAGCCTCCCCCTATAGGCATGCACACCTTGCCTGAGTTTTAAGGTTGACTATATAAGAAGCATATTTAACCAATATGCATACTCGGCTATGTGAAAGTTTGCATAAATAACCTAAAGAATATGATTGCTTTAAAAAAAAAAAAAAAAAAACCAGACTCCCTTTGTTGCCCAGGGTGTTCTTGAACTTTTGAACTGTTGGGCTCAGGTGACCCTTCGGCCTTAACTTCTTGAGTATGGAAGACCATGGGCTCATGCTTTTCTTTTCTTTCTTTTTTTGGTAAAGAAAATCTAGGTAATTTATATTAAAATGATGCCTATTTTAGAATAGTCACTTATTTTGATGTTGTTGCTTGTTTTTAGAAACATTTTGGAATTCTCTCTGGCATAGTTTTTGTAAAAATCTTGATTGATGGCACATTATTTGAATTGCCTTTTTAGAAATGAATGCTTTCCAAAGTAGCTACGTTTGTACCAGGGATCAAACTCAGGACTTTGCAATCAGGCAGACAATGCTTATGCTGTTGAGCTACCTCTGGCAAAAGGGATGTTATTCATCTGGAAATGGGTAGTACTTTTTGTTGTTGTTAAACAGGGAGGGTCTTCCAAAAGCTACAACTCTTGTTGCATAGGTCCTGCTTTGTCTTGGTCTTAACCATCCAGCAGAAAAGTATAAAAATGAAGTATAAGAAGTAAAGCCATGCTGTTATGTTGAGCTGTAGGGGACTCAGGTCAACAATTTCTGACATTGCCAGTGAAGTGGAAGACCCAGTACTATTATGGGCTACTGGACTCTTTTAGAATATTTTGCTGAGTTTACACACCTATAATATTCAGATAACACAACTTAACAAAAAAGAGGATACAGATGAATGTCCATTTTGTATCTGTGTATTCAAAGTAATTAGGATAGATATACAATTACATTCTCTTAATGAATAGAGGGATTTGTTCTAATGGTGTTTGTAAATAGGATATCATGTCCACATCTTGTACAGCAATTAATCACTAGGAAGAATGTATGCAATGTGTTAATTATTCAAACTGTCCTACCAATTTGGTTTGAAAAACAAAACAGGGAGAGGGTCTTGCTATGTAACAGGCTGGCCTTGGCCTACCAATGTATGTGCCACCACACCCAGCTTTCTAATGTTTCTTAAAACGTACTCTATGGATGTGTTTTTGTGGTATTCTAGCTGTGCTCAAATTTGCCTTAATATTCCAGAAATACTTTGACTTGCATTGATTAGTAAAACTGTACACATTACATATATCCAAATGCATATTGTTGACCTTAATAAAGAGAAATGGAATCTTAAAGTGATTCCCTAGTGATTCACAAACACCCCAGGATACCCTCTGAATATATTTGTCTTTCTGTATAAAACATCTCCGTACCCAACAGAATGCTTTGGAGACAAGTGATATTGGAATAAGAGAATAAATACCATGTTCTGAGTTGTTTCGATGATTCCAGATCACAGAATAGACTATATTGTTTTGAGAGGCTTCTGATATTTTCATTAACCCAGTACTTCGTGATGAAATCCAAGATAATGTTATCTGTTTCAAAAACAAGTTGTGAGAAGGGTTTAGTATGTGTGGAGGGCCATAGACCAATGCCAATTAAGAGAGAGAGAGTACTATTTATTTGCATAATTCTTGGAAATGTGTTTTAATAAGGATGCTTTCAGTTGTCATCAGTGCAAGCTACAGTTCAGAATTGTTTAAACAATGAAGGAAATTTATCAGTTCATGTAACTGAAAATTAACAGCACTGGCATCAGGAAAGATTTAGTACTGCTAAGAATTCAGTTCCTTTTCCTTTTATTTCCTCTATCTTCTGCTGGTTATTCCTGAAAGCCAGCTTCCATGGTCCCTTGAAGCATCTCCTGGACTATAGATTTTCTCATTCAATTCTAACAAGTATGAGATCAGTTTACTCCAGAGTTTCTTACGTAAGTGCTGACACTTTTTCTGATTGTTATTTGTTGTTATGTTACCATTTTTGATTGAATCACTGTGGCCAAGAGATGTGCAATATACTGACTGACTTAATCTAGGTCAAATGCTGTACCCTTGAAGCCAGAGACTGAGTCAGCTTCTGTGGAACTGTTTATCTCCAGGTGGAAAGGGAGAGCAGATGCTGCCTGTCCACTACAAAGTGCTCAGTACAGCTTATTTATTCTTTCATTGCTGTATCGTTATTTACTAAGCTAGATGCCAAGTACTGCAGAGTCTTTGCCGTCAGGGAGGTGCTCTTGAGATGGAGCTAGTAGACACATGTAGGGTAGCAAGATGCAAATTATTTATGAGGGTCACTCCAAAAATTAATACATCTAAGGGGCTGGGAATATAGCTCAGTGGTATAAATGCCTGCCTGGCAAGTACAAGGTCCCAAGTTTGATCCCCAGCTTTACAAAAAACAAACAAAAAATTAATATGTTAAGGAAAAAAATAGATGCTAATGAATTTTAATAATCATATAGTAGTACTAAGTTCTTAAGCAGTCAGTTTAGAATTGTAATAGATTGTGATATTATTTGCATTTCTCTCACGTATTTATCTCAAAAATTTTTGTTTAAATATGAGTTAAACCTTTTTATCACTATTTTCTAGTTTCATTTAACGCCTTCTGGAGGAGTCTCCCACAATTCTCATATCTAGATTTGAGATAATTTTCACTTGTATTATTTGCTGGTGAGGTGGTGGTGTTGGCCATAGGCCTTGGGAGGCACATATTGTGGTGTTAAAAGATATATCTTATATATTACAATTATGTTTTCTCTTCATGTCCTCAGATATGCATGGCTTTCTAAAACCATGATTCCAAAATAAATTTAGTAGTGGGATCACATATCAAGAGAGAATATTTTCTTCCTCTCATCTATAATTGTTGAGTTGAAATTAAAATTTTCCATGAGAATGAAGTACATTTCATGATGCAGAAACCTTGTTTATATCTCTCTCATATGATAGTAGCTATCTTGATAAGTATTTTAAAAATCTAAAATATGCATTTTTCCAGTGTAAGCCATTTCACCATAGACGTTTATTTCTTCTAAGTATAAGCCATTAATATATTACCTTGTAAGTATACATTCAGCTAGTTTTTATTTTGTGGCATTCTCAATTAAATTTCATACCTTTAAAAAAAAATTATGTATTTGGTACCAGGTCTCACTGTGTAGCTCAGACTTGTAGTGATCCTCCTGTTTTCAGCTTCCTCAGTGCTGGGATTACAGGCTTGTATCACCACGCCCAGACTCTGGTTCAGTGCACCCTGGGGAGGGGCCCGCACCATATGCAGTACTGGTAATCGAACACTGGTCCCTGTGCTTGCCTAAGCAGGTTCTTAGTCTGCTGACCTAGCTCACCAGCCCTATTCAGCTAGTTTTTAATAAATAGTTTTCATTAATCTGTATTTCAGCCTAAATTAAGAGGTTTATGAAAAATTTGAATTTGTTTATTGGCTAAAACTGAAAGGAATTGGTCTCTTTATTTCTACTTTACAAGTATTTTGAAGTTCAGTATAATTAAGAGTTATTAGTATATTTTTGTCTTGTGTTTTTTTGTTTTGTTGTGGTGTGTGTGTGTGTGTGTGTGTAGGATCACATTACACAGCTTGCACTCGTAGTGATCCTCCTGTTCTCAGCTCCCTAATGCTGGGATTACAGGTTTGTGCCACCATACCCAGACTCTATATTTGTTTGGGTTTTTTTAATGGAGAAATAAAAGTATGTATTTACAACTAGCCAACTGGACTCATGCATCTTAATCAGGAGCCAAAATGGGGCCGGGAAGATGGCTCAATAGAATAAGTGCTTCCCTGGCAAGCTCAAGGGCCTGAGTTCAATCCCCGGTTCCACAAAAAAATAATAATAATCAGGAGCTAGTTGAACATATACCTTCTTCTCTCCATCAGGCCTGATTAGGTTATTAGCCTTGACCACACCAATGTCATAGAGCTTCTTCACTCTTGTTTGATCTGGTGCTTATTGGCTTTGACATCAACAATGAACAGGAGTGTGTTGTTGTCCTCAGTCTTTTTCATGGCTGACTCCATGGTCAAGGGGAACTTGATGATGGCATAATGGCCAAGCTTGTTTCTCCTAGGGGCACTCTTCCAAGGGTATTTGAGTTGCCTCTGGAGTGGCAGTGTCTTGGGATGGTAGAAGGTGGGTGGCATGCCTATCTTATTATTTTTTGTGGATATGGATACCTTTCAGTATGATCTTCTTAGCCTTCAAAGCTTTTGCTTTGGTTTCAGCTTTGGGATGGGCAGAGGCTTCCTTCTTCACCTTTGGCTCCATTTTGGTCAAGAGTTATTAAAGCTGCAACTGAATATTATATGTGATGTCTTCACAGAAAAAAAATGAATAAAATATTTGAAGTAATAAACAATATTTCTGTATTTCAAAGTAGTTATATTGGGGCCGGGGAGATGGCTCAGTGGAATAAGTGCTTCCCTGGCAAGCACAAAGCCCTGAGTTCAATCCCCGGTTCCGCAAAAAAAAAAAAAAAAAAAAGTAGTTATATCATTCCTATTTTATGTGTGCTGAGTTGTTAGTAAATAAAGGAATGCTAATTGTTGGATATAAAAATACAAAACTACATAGTATCTGCTTTTTCCCCCCTTTTTTAGGAACAGATGTTGTCATTGTGAAAAATGGAAGAAGAATATGTGGAACAGGAGGTTGTCTAGCCAGTGCACCTTTACATCAAAACAAAAGCTATTTTGAATTCAAAATCCAATCCACAGGTTAGTATAAAGGTACTTTACTATTAAAAGTTCTAATTGTTCTAAATATTAAGTAATTTTAAATATGTGAAAAAGATTCAGAGGTATTTGCTTTTTAAGTCTCAAACTTTCACTTAGATCTGTGTCTTGTGTGATCCAGGTTAAATTTAAAGTTAGGTTTAGTTTTCTATAAAGTAGAGATTGTAAGAGCTGCCTTTTCTCTCTCTTTCTTTTTTCTTTTTTTTTTCCTTTTTCTTTCTTTTTTTTTGGTCTCCTTGAGACAGGGTTTTACTGTGTAGTTCATGCAGACTTTGAACCTATTTTGCAGCTCAGGCTGGCCTCAAACTCAAGGTGATCTTGGGAGCGCAGGCATGTACACCACATCCAGCCTAGGCACTGCCTTTCCTGCCTCATAGGAACTATAAAATTACTTTAAAAACAGGACATGCTGGACGAATGTAAAGTTGCAAGCATTATTAAGGGATTCTAGAGTCATCATTCTATTTGTTTGTGCATATGAGATATGTAGACTTTTGCTATTTTATTTTAAGATAAAATTAATCTCCTTTTTTTGACATCAGTTATTTTTATTTTAAAGAAAAAAA